CAAATGTACTGGATTTTCTTCCAAAATCATTGTTTTGATTTTTTAATTCGGACATCATAACCTTAGTTTTTACGTAGTCTGCAGTTTGATCATCTTCTTTTAATGTATCTATTAAATCACCAATATAACTGTACGACTCTGGCAACGTGTTTAACATATAGTTCAATTTTTCCTTTTCAGACACACTAGCACCCGCGCTTTTTAACTCGTTTATAGCTTTTTCGAAGTCACTAAAAAATGTTGCACAGTCTCCATAGTTGTTCAATTTTAATCTTTCCAAGTTATTTCTACATACTATCTGCAATGCCGTTGATTCTTTCAAATATAAATTATCAAATTTCTTTATCATCTCATACGCCGTAGTTTTTTCGTCGATGTACTCCATCTGTCGATCCGATATTGCACCGCATATATAATTCATTGCTTTTACATCATCGTCATCCCAATTTGTATCATCATTTTCATTTTTCGGTCTGGTTACCACAACATCACACTTCTTCATTTTCAAAAATAGCATAAGACGTTTTTTCCACATTTTATAATTCTCCCCATCGAATATAGGTATTCTAAAATCACTACTACCTGCCATCATGTGTCACACTTTTTTTTCAAACTGCACCAAACTTTTTCTGTTGTAAAAGGTACGACTTTCCAACCACGGACCTCTGCTACCATGTTAAGGTGTGGATTTGGAAAATAAATAGTCGTACTTTACTACTATTATAAAAGGCTTTATTTCCTATAACATACATACTAATTAACTAACCTAACTTAAGCCACCATACTTCTTACTACCACCTACAACTACATGATACTCATTGACATTACTATTATTGTCTGTCATGTCAACCCATGACACTATGGGTGCGTTCCGCTTACTCTTACACCAATATATCTGTGTATACAATATAAATGTATTACATTCTCAACAGAACTTATTAAGGTGATGAGTGAAGTGAGCACGAAGGAGTTAGCTGAACTGTTTAACGCCACATACGGCTAAGGTAATATCTCAGAGGAATGGTTATTGTCAACATTTGTAAGACTACCAAAAAAACTATCTGCGAAAACGTGCGAAGATTTCTGAACTATCAGCCTTATGAGTCATGCACTTCAGATTTTTCTTAAAATCATACATGCCAGAAATTACAAGAAATCCGAAGAAAATGTCGTGAAATGCAATTTGGATTGAAACCAGTGTGCTCAAGTCAAAGTCAAAGACCAGATGACCGATCAAGTGAAGATCATGCGAGGAGTAAGTCAAGGCTGTGTGCTCTCGCCGACTCTTTTCAATATATACAGGAAATTTTTTCTGAAGCCCTCACAAACCTAGAGATGGGAATCCGAGTGAACGGTGAATACATCAATAATATCGGCCACGCCGATGACAATGTATTACTATCAACCAGCCTTCTTCTTCTTCGGGTTCCTTCTCCTAGCGGAGGTTGGAAATCATCATCGCTATTTTAACTTTGTTGGCCGCATTTCTGAATAATTCTAATGAGCTGCAGCCGAACCACTCTCTCAAATTTCTTAGCCAGGACATTTTGCATCGTCCTGGGTTTCAACCAGCCTAAATTATCTATAAGCCTTACTAGATCGAGTAAGAACTGTGAGCGTAACATACGAACTATAATAGACCTTAATATTAAGAAAACTATATTCATGTCAGCCGTTCAAATTTTGATTCTGGGGCACAAATGACAGGTAGTGAAGAGATCCAGAGGGTTGACAGATTCACTTACCTTGGAACTACCCTCAACTCACAATGGGACTACGTTCAAGAGATTAGATCCAGAATTTAAATGGTATGGTCTACATTTATCGAGTTGAGATCCTTGCTGTGCTGCAGTGATCTTAGTTTGGGAACCAAGATGCGGATAGTGAGGTACTACATTCTTCCAGTGTTACTATATGGAGTTGAAGCCTGGACACTGACTGAAGCCACTAAAAAGCGGATTAAAGCCTTCAGGATGTGTATAAGTACCTCGACCACATAATGCGAAACGAAGAAAAATATCGAATTCTTCAACTCGTTATGCAGGGTAAAGTATTTGGCAGAAGTGGTTATAAAACCTCCGATAATGGTTTGGGATGATCTCTGCAGCTGTTTCGCAGAGCAGTCAACAAAACCATGATAGCCTTGATGATCGCCAACATCCGGACCGGATAAGGCACTGAAGAAGAAAAAAAAAATCCTTATCCGCATTTAGATCACAATCTTGTAGTCCCCATAGTCTCTGTAATCGAAGCTAATCTAACTGGATTATGATGAAATCAACGAAAAATTTTGGTGCCATTCGATATGTAAATGAAAGTCGCCTTTTACAAACACACCTTTGTTGTCTTGGTGGTTTAATTTGGTGTAGATAGGTAAACTATACACTTTTATGATTTTTGTAATGTAGTAATCACCAATAAGTGACAGATTAAGGACTAAAGGTGACCATCATGAAAGTTTTTTTTTTATTTTTCCCGTTCAAACTGATTCTTATTTTCTGAGATTCATCCTCTGGTTGTTGATGGTCATCTTCGGTTAGAAGTCTTATTTTGCTAGATGCTATTTTACAAATTACATGTCGCTTATTGTAATAAATTAAAAAATACCAGTACAAATGCAATAAATCTATGAATAGACTTTAATTTGAAAGCATACAAACTATATCAGGTATAAATGTTAAAGAGTTGTACAATATTTTAGACCTTAGTATAATTAATACATTTATATGTAAAAGACTGAATAATTTCTTTGAATATTATATTATTTGTAGTTATTAATAAAAATGTTCATTTTGTATTATCTTTCATTTCCTCTTCTCTATAAATATGCCTCTGTAAATTTACATTTTGTTTGAAATATTGGATTGTAAGACAATTGTATGAAACCATGGATAAATTTAACAGCCCTGGCAAAATACTGAGACTGGTCTTGTTTCTCTTCTCTTCTTTTTGTGGAAGCTGTCTTAACGACTATTAAAGTTCCCATGGCTATGATAGATCTGTCATACACAAGATCTCTGCCAACACTCTATGTATTCTTTATTTGGCCCTTTATATAAAAAGCCAAATCGAAATTTCTCGTAGTGACAGTAAATTTTTCTCACTTCTGTTAATCTTCTTCTGCGCCATTTCTTTTTGTCTCAGTGTCCAATTTATTAATAGTTTTTCATATTATTAGATTAATTATGGATATATGCAGCATCTGTTCGAGATTGGGCAGCTACAAATAGCGTTTCTCTTCAGGTTAGATACGGCTGAACTCAAAGGGAAACCATACTGTGAAATATTTTCGAGGATATTGCCATGACGAAGACAACAAAGATGGCGGCCCTTGTCCCAGGCAGTCCCCTTTGGTAGGTAAGGGATGCTTAGAATCCCTCGGTTCAAAATAGTAAAATCCACTGTTAAGATAGGCACATCGAACGTTAGAAGCCTTAAACCATTATCGGTGTAAGCAAGAAATATTGTGCGAGTACATTGGAAACCACGCGAACACAGTCGTTGTAGAGGAAGACTGCAAAAACGGTGGCTAGACATCAAAGCCAAAGTGGTGAGAAACTGGCATCAAATAGCATAAAACAGAAAAAGTGGAGAACTCATATAGGGAGGCCTTTGTCCAGAATTGGATGCATCTACGACCTGGTTCAGGAACATGCAGATACAAAGATGGTATATTGTATTATAGTGGGAATGATAGTGTTACATATAGTATGGCATAGTCTCATGTCAGATTGTACATATGTTCTGCGTTCTATTCTATCATAGAGATATATGACATCTGGGCTGGGGGAAAATGGGTTATGTTTTACGGTTTAATAAACGTGGTCACAAGTTCATCTTGTATTATTTTAATTTAATATAAAGCCAACCTGAAACAGATAACAGCGATTCACAGCATAGAAATGGAGTAGGAATTCGAGAAATATGTCCTTAACTTATTATTAACTGTATAAGTAAGAAAAAGACTAAGAACGGGGCGAAGGCAAATAATAAAGAAACAAAGTAAATAGCAGTGAAGATCAAGTACCAGAGATATTAACAAGGAAAAAGAGCATTGTCAACCAAGGATCAGAACTACTACCGGAAATCACAATAGACGAAATAAAACTAGCCCTAAGAGAAGGTAAGAATAACAAATCTCCAGGCGAAGATTGTGTAGTTACTGATGCAATCAAAATCGGAGGCACTTGCCTACTTTAGAAAATAAAACCTTTTTAACATGTGCCTTTGGGATAGTAATATACCCGATAAATTACACAATGCAGAGGTAATTCTAGTGTACAAAAAGGAGATCTCCATGAATTAGAAAACTATTAGATACAGAAAAAAGAAATTGGACGAAAAGTGCTCAAGATAGAGTACAATGGACAAAAATGAGGGAGGCTTATGATCAGCAGTGGACGCAAAGGGCTGGGTGATAAATACAGATATATACACTTACCAACTTTAGAAAGAAAAGATGGCAATGAAGTAGAAATTTTAAGTATAAGCTTAGTATAACATTAAAAAGCTTAAAATCCAATGAAATCACATACATAATGGGCGATTTTAATGCCAGTATTGATAAAGGACGTAGATCAGATTTTGTAGGGGAATACGGCCCGTGAGACTGCAATAAAAGAGCAGATAAACCATTTGATTTTTGCAAAGAACACAAAATGGTAGTAAACAAACACATATATGTTACATCCTCACAGATTGTACACTGGCAGAGCCGTTGGAGATAATCCAATACATAAATCCAGAAATGAGATTACATTCTTATCAGCAAAAGACTTAGGAACTCCATCAGTAGAGTTATGACATACCCTAGTGGAGCTCCTTGACCAACTGTAGATCTCTTGTAGCCTATTCCATATTATTTATTTTCCTCAGCTTTTCCCTTTTCAGGAATAGCTCACTCTTCTTCCTTACTTTTCTTTACCAGTCTTTTCTGTCATTTTCCCATTTCTTAGCAAAATATGTAGCTAAATAAATAAATTCAAAGAAACAAACAAGGCTTAAATTTTAAATGTCTATTAATAAATGTACAGATAATTAATTACATATTGTTTATTTCTTCTCCTTAGATATATCAACTTCTTCTGAAGCAGGATTGGCATTTCTAAAATTAGGGAATTGTTCCCATGGTGCACTCAGCTCGAACTTTCTAAACTCTTGAGCTAATTCCAAGGGTTCAACAACGACTCGTTTCTTTTCATCATCATACCTCACTTCTACATATCCACTGAGAGGGAAATCTTTCCTGAACGGATGTCCTTCAAATCCATAATCAGTCAAGATTCTTCTTAAATCTGGATGATTTGAGAAGAACACACCATACATATCCCAAATTTCTCTTTCATACCAATTCGCTGCTTTGTAAATGTCATTACAAGACTCAACTGGAGTCAATTCATCTGTGTAAGTTTTCACTCTAATCCTTGAATTGAATCTGAGGGACAGGATGTTGTATATAATTTCAAATCTGTAACAAATGCTTTATAAATATCTGAACTAAAACTTATTGGTATTTATTTATTTATTTATCTATTTATTTTATTTATTTATTTATTTAATACATGGAATAACCTGATTAACAGTTTAAATTACAATATACAATATCACAGTTAGGATTCAAAACGTGAAATTGCTTATAATATAAAATCAATATTAAAAAGTTTTAAAAAAATTAGACTAAAAATATTACATACTAAAAAAAACAAAAAAAGTATAACAAGAACAAAATTCAACAATCCCAATACACATATCACTAAGCAAGGTATCTTTTTAACTGAGTTAAAGTTGTATCAAAATCGCGATCATTTAATTGGTATGTATTCAATTGGCATGAACATTACATATTGTTTAACATTATAAATATTTAAAAAAATTGGGTTTAAAGCTGTACATATTGCCTCTTTTTGGTGCATCCTGGGTAAACTAAATAAGCAAAAACATTGAACCTCTAGACCATCTTCCAGATGTTATGGCGAACACATTTTAAACAAGTGTTAAGTAGTAAATACTTAAAAAGTAAAAATGTAATTTATTAAAAAACATTTCAAATACCCACAAAACTGGCAGAAACCATCATTAATGTCTACACTCATAGACGCATTTACATTGGAAACCATAAAAATGAACTTCTTGAACCACATTATAATATGTTATAATAATTGGGGATTACCCCAGGGATCAGTCTTAAGACCTGTTTTAATCTGTATACTGCTGATTTTCATAATCTTAATGCACCGAATATTACTTATAAAACAATCCCATATGCTGATGATTTCCTAGTCTATACTGTAAAGTACAAAATATGAACCCTCCCTTACACAATCTTCAGAAAATTACATGAACATTTCTCAAACTAGTCTTGTCAAAATGGTTTTAATTTATCCACTATTAAATCTAGCTATGTTTCTAAATCAAAAGTTAACATGGAAATTACACATCCAGTATATGCTTGACAACAGCAATAAAGGTCTCAATTTTTTAAAATCCATTTCTAAAATTTGATGGGGTTCTGATAAAGAAACAGCTTTGCATTTTACAAATCTTACATCAGATCTATTCTGGACTATGGATGTATACTTTATGGATCAGCAAGAAAACACATTTTACATAAAATTAATGTATTTCAATGTACTGTTCTATGAATATGTATGGGAGCAATGGAGTCTGCTTCAATAGATCCATTGCATGTTGAAGCTTTAGAACCTCTCTTGAATTTTAGACAAGATATTTAAGTGAAAAATTTGTAGTGAAAATTTCATCAAAGTATCAACAAATATTATATTCTGGCATAAGCCCACTAAGCATAGATGATCTAACAAACAGTTACTGGACTCATAAATAAAAATCCACATCAAAAATTTGATCTGACTTTGGAGCCATGTGTAACAATAAGTATACTATACAGTATAACTATACAAACAGTATTAGCAAGCTTGATATTAACAACTATTTCGCATTTTTTTTATGAAGCTGACATTTACCAACATATTATTATCTTCTTCTCATTGCGTTGTCTCCTTTTGAAGGTTGGGGATAAAAATGGCAATTATAGTTTTGAAAACTGCTGGGTGAAAGATTTCTGCATATGAGCAGTCAAACCATCTCCTCAGGTCTTTCAGCCATGAGTTCTGGCGTCTTCCTACTGATCTTTTGCCCCTTACTTTTCCTTCCAGAATAACTTCCAACATATTATAATATTTCATTATTAGACCCATGCATCTTAAATTCCCTTATAGAAAAATATCCCAAATATTTGTAATCTATATGAATGCAACTAAAATGTCTGAAGAGACCAGATGTGCTTTCTACATTCCATTTAAGTCAACAGAAAAAATTTTCAAACTACTATTGCTCTATTTTTAGTGCTGAAGCACTAGCAATTCTTAAAGCCTTGATATATTTTGACAGTTTAAATGATCAAGCAGCTTTAATATCTAATTCATTGTCTATCAAAAGCTCAAAGTTAACCAATTATAATTATAATCCTTTCATTTACCAAATTAAGAACATAAAAAAAACTACAATTGGCACATAAGAAAAAACAAAAGGGAAATACCTATTGAATTTTTACCAAAAAAGGAAAAAAAAGTGGGGACAACACTCTTTGGATTTCAGAAAACCGTCATTTTGGTTTCATTTGTTAAAAAAAGAAGTAAGTTAGTAATACTGTTATCTACTATGGATGACACTGCCACCATAGACTTCGAAACTAAAAAAAAAACAGAAATTATTCTAGATTATAATGGCACAAGAAAATTCATAAGAACAATAAAAACATAGGAAAACTAAATATAAATTAATTATTATTAATTTGTGGCTCATTAAAAACAAATTAAAGGCCATATCTTACATTTTCAACCATAATTTACAAAAAATAACTGAATTACAACTGCAGGAAGGCCTAAGACTAGATGAAAAGAACAAATGAAAGTGTTGCAAATTGCTGAACAAACTGTTATTAGTTATTAGACAGTACCCAATAAAGGGTATTAAAGAGAAATGTACACTCATGTCTAACACAAAACAAAAAACATAATATCTGTAAACCCTATAGGTTTTAGATTGGTATACATTATATCTTTGATAAAATGGGTATTGTAATTAGGGCTGTAGCTTGGATCAATGAACCAGTCTTACCTATATGGCCTAGATGGTACATCCATACCAGCAATATCAGCCAAGTTTGAGAACTGAGCATTGTGGTGATCTTTTAAAAATTGCAATACAGGTAAAACTCCGTCAGGCACAATTAAAAGTTCTAACTCATCTCCAGCAGTTATTTGTACCTTCTGAACATATTTTGGTAGACATTCAGCTACATATTTTCCAAAATCAGTAAGTGACGATCTTGCTACTAAATTGGGTTTTCTTACTGTTGGTCTCGTTTCCGTTTGACTTTCAACTTCGGTTGATAGAGATCGGCTAGTGTGTTGTACTAAAGATGTTTGTAAAGGCTTATTGCGAGCCAATTGGGATAAAAGTGGCCTTAAATACATTTTAAAACGATTATTATTGTTACCTAACACTTTATCCAATATGTCAAATATAAATTACTTAACCTATAATATTTTCATCTTCTTTTTTATAAAAGAAAGTATGACATAGAGAAATATTGTTATTTCTCTATGATGTATGATAAGGTATACGACTGATATTGCAATGCAAGTTGCCTACTTTCAGAGAATTTATTAAATGTGTTTATTTAATAGAGTTTAATGTGATAAATAAATAAATTGATAAATAAATTTGAAGAAAAAGGGGAACAAAACATTGTTGATTGTTTTGTTTTTGAATTTTGATATTTATTAATTGTATTATTATTAAAATAATGTATGTGCATTAACAAAACAATTTATATTTTTTATATAAAGTTCAAGAATGTCGGAATACGATGTTCAGTTAGTTCTTTTCTTTTTGAAGTAGCATTTTTTTCAGTCCTCTGTTTTCTCAGTGCGTAGAGTCTAAATGTAAGCACAGTATATTATTGTACTTCAGAATTCTTTTAGCAGTAAACTGTGCCGTAAAGTATTTATAGCCTAATCATTTTAATGAGCTCGATTCGGTGACAACTGAGGTCTATTACTTCAGTACAAAAAGAGAAAACATTGCCTGAAGAAATGTTATTTACTACAGACAGAACAATGCCATTGACTATCCTAGAATTTATAACAAAACATTTTTTTAAACAGCAGTTGCCAAGAACAATACAATCTAAAACACTTCAGTTTGGGAACAATTTTCCCAATAATAAATCCACACATCACACATATAAAAAAAGGATATAATCACAGAATACACCACCCAACAGTTGGGTGGTGTATTTTGTAATAAAATCCTTTAATGTAGATTTCTCATCTCCCACCAACACAATGTTCAATTGTTCCGAAAGTAGATCTATGTCCGTTTCTATTTCATTATGTTCAAAAAAAATCTTTTTCTTCTTCTCCACACTAAGTATTTAGAATACATCTCCTCATAGAATATACCTCATTTTCATTCTTATTTAGATTATCTACACGCGTGTTTTCTTTAATTTGGTTCTGTACACGCCCACTAAAGGATTGTGGTCAGATTGAATATCAGCGCCTGGGTAGGTTTTAACACCGTTGAAACTATTTGGATATCTTTTGTAGTATATCTATAGTCTATTTGGTTTCTTATAATAACGTCTTCTTCGTTGTCTCTAGGTGATTTCCACGTACACAGGCATCTAGGTAATAGTTTGTAAAATGTTTTTAGCATGATTAAGTCATTTTCACCTGCAAAGATACTCATTGTTTTTCCTCGTGGATTGCTTTCTTCTAATCCATAAGGACCAATATGTTGCCTTCTTTTTCGTTACCTATTTTAGTATTGAAATCTCCCTTGACTATAACAAGTTCATGTCTCGGTACATTTCTTATAAGGTTGTTTATTTGTTTATAAAATTCTGATATTTCCTCACCACTGTGGTCTGCTATGGGTGCATAGACTTGTATAATGTTAGTGTTCATCGGTAACGTATTTATTTGTAACAAGCGGATTCTATCGTTCACTAGTATGAAGTTGTCGACATGTTTGGCTACACTTTTATGTGCGATAATTCTAACTCCATTTTTATATTTACCATTTTCTGATCCTGAATAGTATACTCTGTATTCTTCTGTGACAATAAATTGAGTTAGGACATCTCATTTCGATTGTGCCTATTATTGCTATTTTCACGCGTTCCATTTCTTTGATTGTACATTACATTTTTCCTGATTGAGCCCTAGTCCTGACCTTCCAAGTAGATATTCTCTTCAGACAATTCGTGTGGATTTTTCTTATAGGTGTGCTATTGGACATTTCAGGCATATAGGCCCTGTGGTTATGGAAATCACCTCTCTTGCGGTGGTTTCTCGTTGCCTTATATATTCTTATGCCGTTGACCAAACCATGATTCCTCCGCCTTTCGGACTGGTTTCTCAGCCCCAGGACAAAAGAGTGCCCTACCACATACCAACTCGTCCGCCCGAACCGTTGGTCAGAAAGTGGAGGATTGCTTATACCGGCAATCATTCGGTGAATTACCTGTTGGTCCACAGGAGGTATTTTATTTCCTTCCTACCCACCGGTAAACCGGGTCTGGCATTCCCCTATCCGCCACCTGGGGACGCGCTGTCTAGGAGTTACAGGTTCTCCCGAGCGGGAGAAGAGCACGCGCAATAAACTTTATAAAATCAGCTTTACTTGTTGTCCTTCAGTTCTACCACAGAATAAATAACAATTAGAATGCCCACACAGATGCCGCCTTTGAACCGCTGACGTGTGTCAGCACGCGATCGTCATATTTTAGCGGAAACACATACTCGGAATGAGAAATTTGTGACAAGCTACGACAAAATCATAATTTAAATTTTTAGAGATTAATATTATAATATGGTGGAAAATCTGTGTCAGATCGATTTCTTGCTACTGTTTATATAGTTTTATTTGTTTATTACCTTCTATCTTTTATTTTAAAAATGTATTTTTTTATTTTTAGTTTTTCTTGAACTTCGTTTGACCACCGCTATAGGTATCTCTATTCTCAAACTTCATTCCTGAATTTATTCTAAGTATTTCACTAGCAGCGAGGAAATTATAATAAAACACAAATAAATTATGGACATTTTATTATTACATCATTCTGGCAGTGAATTCAGATCAAAGTACGATTCGACAATTCAAAACATTTAAAGGGAATGCAGATTATTGTTGGGTAGAGAATTGAATGCAATAGACACGTGCAAACCAAGTCAAAATGTTCGACAGGAAATATGTTTGCAAAACTGGTCCATATCTAAACATTTATCAATCACAAAATTGCAATTGGAAAAATTTGGTTTAGCTTAACATTACAATTATAATTTTATAGGTAGGTAATTCAAATTTAAAATGTACAGAGTGCTATCCCGAAACAATATTATATATTAGGTAGACTGTACACTGTGGTCGATTTATTAATTATTATTATAACTGATCAATTTAATTTTATAAGTAAAACAATTAATTTACGGTGTATAATATTTCACATTTATATAATAAAATAATAAAAAAACACAATTTAGTTTTGTTTTACTCTTTCAAGAGGTATTTAAACCTCCTAGAAGATGAAACTCTGAAAATGAGACGTGAGATACTGAAATTACTTAGCTGATTGTAATAAAAATTTTACACACTATCAAGTTTTGGCAACATCAGCTTTTGCCAGTTTGATCTATATTTTAGAGGTGTATACAAGTCAGACAACCTTTTTTTCTCGATGAATTGATGTATTAACCCAATATAAAACAATACTGCCATGCAGCAGGTGAGATGCACTGGTCAGAGGATTCTGTAAAAAAGAAAATGAAATACATTTATTACAGCTACCATAAAACGAAAGCTAACTGACTAATCAGCTACTTGACTAAGAGGCAAGTTGTTCTTTTTTAATATTAGCTTCACAAATTTACGTGCTTCAACAGAAGACAAAGATCATTAAGATTATAATCGGAGATTTTAATGCACTTATAAATATGAAAGTAACTTAGAAATCATAGAACTGGTTTCAATCATACTTCCTAAACAAGATAACATGAAGCTAAAACTAGAAACGACTTTAGACTCCAGGAGTGGACTGGAGAGTAATCAGGGGTGAACTAATTCAGTATTATGTTAACCTGTGACAAAATATCCATAAAAATGATGCATTTGATAGATCACACCCTTATAGAAGTCAGACACTTCTTTATATTATAATCTAATGGATGTTCGTGGCAATATATCGGCAACAGATCGCGAGTTTTGGTGGGTGAAAAACAAAGGAGCCAGAATTTCAATAGCAAAGAAGAAGAAAATATCATAAGTACTATATACAGTAAAAAAACTTTTAGACGCACTAAACACACCTGAAATATATCAGAGTTATTTCTAAAATGAAGAATATAACAGGGAAAATGCTTCATCATCATCAATAGCGCTACAACTCTTCGTGAGTCTTTGCCGCGTTTACTATTGCCTTCCATGTTTGTCGGTCCTGTGCCAGTAATTCTCATTGTCGCACTTCCATTTTCTCTAGATCTTCTTTGACTGCATCTTTCCACCTTTTTCTAGGCCGCCCCACAGACCTTCTTCCATCTGGCCTTTCCCAGAACACATTGTTTATAAGGCGATTGTCATTACTGCGTATCACATGCCCTGCCCATCTGAGTCTATTGGCCTTTATATATCTGACTAAATTTTCTTTTCCGAATAGAGACTCTAGCTCGTTATTGTATCTGCCCCTCCATTCGTTTGTCACGCTGTCTCTGCAAGGGCCATATATGAAGTATTTTACGTTCCCACACCAGCAATTTATTTAGTTCCCTTTTTGTTAGCGTCCATGTTTCGCTTGTTGTCAAACAAGTTGTCAGTAGGTTATGTTTTTTAAAATTGGGGGTTGACTTATAAATTAAATATCCGCGAGGTTAGAGAGAATAGCCTTCTTTCGGTCAACAAAAGTTTGACGGTGGTGTAAAAGCAAGTTAGCTGATACAGACACATAATAGTTATAACTGAAAGGTTAACCAGACTAATGGGAACTGAAAATGAAGCTAAGAAAGAGAAGAAATGACTGAAAAGAAAAAGGTTAGGGTTCATTGGAGAAAAATTATGAAAAAATAAAACTAATGATTATGAGAAGACAGTAAGTGAATGATAGAAGATAAAGATCTCCAATAAAATGCTTAAAATCGCATAATGGATTGAGAAGAATAAGAAAACGTTTAAAAATAATATTCAAACAACTCTATATACTTAATATTGTATGCAAAAACTGAAATTTATTCAAATCAGTCAATACCAATAATTAATAATCGATTTAACACAAAATCTTGATGTATTTCAAAGCAATATCTATTTATGAATATGAACAGTTTCTGGAAAATATCACTAACATATTTTTTATATTAACAGTTTTCACTCATATGTGAATAATATTTGCATGTGAAAACGCTGTCAAGCACAATATAAAAGAACCCAAAAAATTTAAGAATGCCGGTTTATTTTGA